TTTTTTTTTTTTGTCCCGACGGTCCGGGTCGGACCGGTTCGACAGCGGGTTTGAAGATGGTTTTTAGGCTACTTCGTAGGGTTAATTATCCTGTGAAGTTTGTATTTTTTTTTTTATTTTTATAATTTTTTTTGTGTTTATTGTTTTTTTGTGGTTTCTTATTTTTTATTCATGGGAATTGTATTATCTGTTTGTGAAATTATTTTAGTATTTTTCTTAGTTTGTATGTATGTTTGTGTTGTTGGCTTTTTTAGGCGATGGATTTCCTTCTAGATTTAACTTAGTAGATGAGTGATTAGGATGTTTTTGGTTAAATTTTGAAGTATATAAATATTTGTCATTATTAATATGAAGGTTATGGTTTGGAAAAAAAAAAATAATATTGAATTATTGTCTACCGGTTAAAAACTATCATGTAAAACTTGGACAATTAAATATTTCTTAGGAAATTCTTTTTCAATCATGCACTCCTATAGAGATATTATTTTATTTTGTGAAGACCTTAGAACAAAAAATTATCCATAATGATTTTTTTCTCTTTGTTTTTGAGATCTTAGGAGTTCCTCATGTATATTACTCCATTAAAAAGAGTATACTTCTTGTTAATAAGGATTCTAGTTAGGGAAATAAATTCTAAAATTATGAATAATTTAACATATAGTTATCTGCCTACCTGGTCCCTTTAAAGGGAAATTCACTAAGCCATTGTTGGTTTCATAACAAAATTTTATGTTTCATATAGAATACTGATTCATGGTGAATTTTGGCGATCCTCGTATGTGGCATGGCCACGAGCCTACTCGGCCCGTCGGTTCGGCCCTGAACTGGTCCTGGCTTAGGCCGGCTCTACCTGAACCAACTCGGATTTCGTAGGTTTGTTGAACCAAAACCTTGGCCATGCGGGTCAGTTTTGGTTCTTAGTTTTTTCTTTTCTTTGTCCAAAAGGTCCGATCCGATCCGGGTCGGGCCGTGTATTGGAAGACGGGCGGCGTTTGATTTTTTTTATGGGCCGGGTCAGGTCCGAACCGGTCGAAAAACCGACGGACTTATGACCGGGCGGTTCAGAGCCGGTTCAATGAACCGGCTCATAAAAATGGTCGGGCCGGTTAAAGGCCATCAATTGAGGGTCGCCGACCTGGCAGGCAGGGCGGGTCACGACCCGTTATTTGGCCACGCCTACTTGTATGTGAGATTTAAATAAACTCGGCCTATTTTGTATTTGAATGATAAGTGAATGTTTTGTAGTTAGGCTAATTTGCAAGGGGGGTTTTGTAATTATTCTCTAAAAGAATTCGCTCTTGCATTCTAACGCTTTTGTTATGAACTAATTTATTTCTTGGATTGTTTAAAATGTGTTGGTACAGACAATTAGATGGGTTTGTTTTTTAAAAAAAAAAGTTAACTGTTGTTTTTATGAGATTTGTATTGGCATGAGCCACAAAAGTTTTATTTGGTGTTTATGCTCATGCCGTTGGTTTTTTTTTTCATTTGATTAATTGATGTAGAGCGTTTGTATGAACGGGAAGAACACGAATAATTCTTACGAGAAATCTCAATTTTTATTCATCAAAGTCCGACTCTCTCAGTGAGAGGCGATTATTCTTATACATCAGATAATTACCCTAACTGCAAAGCCCAATAAATAAAGGTCCAATAACCACAAAATGATAAGGAAAGCCCTATACTAAATAAAAGAATGCTAATGAAAATAAACACGTTAGATACGAAGACGATCATATTTATTTAAAAATACTATCGCGGTCTCGTCTCCATCATCCTCCCTCGGTTGGGAAGGATTCGGCCGCGAATCCGAATCGGTCTCGTCTCCCTCCGAATTATC